TAACTCTTTCAAAAGTACATAAAAATGGTTGCCAGCAGGGGTGTACATGTAGATTTATTAAATACACCTTGTGCGCCACCTTGGAACCAAATCTATAACCCGACACTCGAAATTTTTGCTCTGTTACAATCGTACCCTGTTACAATTGACCCCACTCTCCCCTACTCAAAATTGTTTGTGTCAGAAGGGATGCAAGAATAACGCATACCTGGGATAGGGAGTTATCCCTCACTTTTAAGAAAAATTAAATACAAGTTTCCACCTTAACAACTTTTAATAAATGTATTTAAAAATCCATGCAAAAAAAAAGACCACATTGTGGTCATAGAGATTAGATACCTCCTGTAGGGTTGAGTGGGGGATAAAGTGCCTGGTCAGTGCTTCCGTGAGTGGCTGTGAGGCGTACTGCTCGATCAATGCGATGCAGTCCATCCACCTGAGGCTGTTGCTGTTTTGGAGGTGGTGGCTGAACTCAGGTACGATGTGTTTCTCAAATGCAGAATAGAAACGCCAGCCAATGTAGTTGTAAGCACTCCTGTCAAAAGAGTTTGATCATCACATTTTAGAAACAATAAGCGGCAAATTTTATATAAAAAAATGTCTGAATGCAAAGTTCGTAAAGAAGGCATTAGCATATGGACGAACTGACCGTTTATGTTTGCATCTCTATATTTAAGAGGAAGTCCAAATTATTATACTAAACTCAGTGGCACGACAGCCCATAAAGGAGACCAAGGCTTACTGTGCCCATCTCAGCTTTCTTGACCTTGGGGTGAAAGCGCAGTTGTTCCGGTTGGGTGGTCAGCCGAAAGCGGAATCCCCAGTGTTTAGTCTCCAAGTATACTTGGTACGCATTTTATAGACCCCTTGAAGGGATGAAAGGCAGAGTCAAGCTTGCCCGGCCTGGGGATTGAACCAAGAACCTGTGGCACGAGAGTGCGAAACGCTACTACTCAGCCACCGGGTGTCAGTCCTACTTATTATTAATCAATATTTCACGTCGCTGATAGTAAAACACGGTTCCTGGTAGAACACCGAAGACAAGTAATACTAGCAGTGGTCAGTGTGTGGGTGGAGAACCACTTTGATACTTTGATCAGTCAGCGAAGGGACCCAGGGTATGCGGTATAGGACCTCGTTAAACTGACTTCGTACGGGTTTAAGGAAGCGGGTGAGCCATCCCCTTGGCAGAGAATCAAAATTGTGATGGCATGTCTTTGGTCCATCCCCAGGGATGTTTTGCAGACCATCACCAATAGCCCATTGCGCACCTCTAGTGCGACGTAAGTACAGTACTACTACTACTTGACTATTTAACGTTGATGTCAGATGTCTCAGTTCAGACTCTTACCATGAATGATTGATTACATTTTCACGAATTAGTGCAGCAATTGTTAAAAATGAATAATTTTGATTCAAAGTGAGATAGTTAAAGCTATTTGTCAAAGGATTCAAACGATAAAACTGCAGACTCAATAATACAGTGATAAAGCATACTATGAATTAGGTCAACTCACTTACGCCAGGTGGTTGAGTGGTAACGCTTCGCGCAATCGTGTCGCAGGTCCTTGGTTGGATCCTCTGGCCGGGCAAGGTTGACTCAACCTTTCATTCTTTCAGGAGGTCGATAAAATGAGTATCAAGCATGCTTCGGAATATTTACTATTGCACCCAGAGCCCAAAGGTCAATAAAACTGAGATGGACACAGTAGACCTTGGCCCTCAATGGGCTGTCACGCCACTGAGTTTAGTTTAATTTAGAACCACAGTTATGCTACTTTTACTTTCATTCTCTACGCTTCAGTATAAATTTTCTATTCGCTAAATTGATGCTTGAATTCATTCCCTGTTGCTAAATTTATAAATGGTATGAGTTTATGATTTCATGCTAAGAAAACTGCACTTCAATTAAAAGACAAACTCTCAATCGCTGAATTTCAACAACAACAACAAAAAAAGTCTATCTCTATTTATTAAGAAGACCATGAATTTTTTTCCTAACTTTTTTCTAACATTATAATTTAGACTACAATCTAAAACTATTTTTTGTCGATAGTAGCTTCAATATGATTAATTCAATAATTAACCAATTAAATCACTAAAAAGAGTTTCTTTTTGATTAAAGAACTTACTTAAAAAAAACTCTGCTTAATCGCTCATTAAATTATTTTTGAAATGAAAACTAATACGATTATTAAATCCTTTAATAAAGCTGTAAGTAAATCACATAGATTTATTTTCCTTCCTTTAAATTTTTTTTATATTTGTTATTGGGAGAAGTAAAATCGTTTACCTCACAAATAAAAATGGAAACTTAAAAAAACAATTACAGAAATTGAAGAATTAGGAGAGCTATTTTATTTTACGTCGTACTACAGCTGTACAATCGGCTATAGGCGACTGTCTTTGAAACATCCCTGAGGATGATCCGAAGACATGCCATCGCAATTTTGATCCTCTGGAGAGGGGATGGCTCCCCTGCTTTGGTAGTTAGAGGAGCAGTGCGTGAAGTCCAGCACTTTACTATAGAACAGTTTAACGAGGACCGATACCACTCACCCTCAGTCCCTACTCAGGCTGATCAAAGTGGTCACCCACCCACTTTTTGACTGCATCCAGTGATGCTTGACTTCGGCGTTCTACTGGCAACCGTTTCTTTACGATCAGTCCACTGCGGGACCAAGAATTAGGAGAAAATTAATCAAAAATTATGCATACGTGTTTCACTATGCAATCTATATTATATAAAACGCTAATACGCACGTATGTATCAATAAAACCGATGATATTTCTTTTCTCGCGTTGGCAAAAGTTTTCATTTTTAATTGATTGGATTCGGCGCGCAAGAGCACGTAGTGAGCATCATATGGCTAATCTATATTATATAAAACGCTAATACGTTTTAATTGATAGGC